CCGCTTTCTGCTTTATGTTCAGTCCGAGTGCATCTCTGGACACCATCAATGACCCTCTGACTACCCCCAGCTTTCTGCTTTCAAGCTTCTTGTCCAAAGGTGCTTTTTCAGGAGGCAACTGGACTTTCTGGTTATTCTTTGAAGACGTTTCGCTTCTCATCTGAGAAGCTTCTTCAGCTCTGACTGAATGGCAGGGAAGGGAAGGATTTATATTCCTTGCAGACAGCTGGTCATTTGCATCCTTTTAGAGAGCCGTTGAGGGCACCTGGAAGCTGCTTGTCATTCCTAACGGGAGTTTTAAAGTCACGGCATTCTGCCTTGAATCATTGCAATGAGGCAGCCCAGCATTATTATCATGGCCCACATGTTTGGTCAGAGTTTGGGCGGCTCATCCTTGAACACTTCAGGGTTTAGGCTCCAGCAGGGACTATGAAGCCAGACTGCTGGCACCCGACTGGCAACTACAGGCAGCCAATCCAATCAAGGCCGCCTCAACTCAGTTGGGCTCATCTCTGAATGGTCAAAGGGCCCGCCATGCACCCCCACTCCCCCAGGGGCTCCTCCGTCCCCCCCTCCCAGCCAGACCACCTCACCGTGAGTAATAGCCGACTGCTCTGGCACGTTGATGACAATTTCCTTGAGGCTTTGGACGTAGCGGATGCGGTCTAGGAGTGGGATGAGGAAATTCAGTCCCTAGCAAGGATCAGCAAAGGACAAGAATCATCCTTTTCTCTCCACGAAATCATCTCTGGATGCCCAACAATCACAGCATCGCAAGCTTGGAGGAACCAAGACAAACGGCCATCCAAGCTCTACTGGAAAACCTCATGGTGAAACAGCCACCACCAAGGTCATCTAGTCCAACCCCCTGTAATACGCCGCAAAACCAAACGGACCATCCTTAAAGAGGGCGCTGTCTGGACTCTCCTTAAAACCCTCCAGCCCTTGGGGGGAACAGCAGCTGCTGCCAGGCAAGAGATGCTTCTCACCCTCTTCCCTCCCCAAGGCTGGACTAGGCTCGACCTTTCCCCCCTGAAGTGAACGATCTGAGAAAACTGAGCTTAGACGGGCTCATTCATTCCCCACGCAACTCACACTCACAAGCATTGCGGTGGCAGCCGGCTCTCTCTGGCTAATTGAGCCACGCCCAGGCGTTTTTTAGGAACATGCTCAAGTCCGTAGGCAGCCCATCGCCACCACCCTTAATTGACAATTGTACAACCAGCTCCACGTTTTTCTGGGCACGTGGGAGAAAAGGTAATACGGGTAGTCCTCGACTTACAACGGTTCGTTTAGTGACCGTTTGAAGTTTCAATGGCACTGAAAAAATGGACATGACCATTTTTCACCCTTAGGACTCTTGAAGCATCCCCATGGTCATGTGACTTACATTCGTATGCTGGGCAACTGACTCATCTTTATGACGGTCTCAGTGTCCCGGGGTCACGTGAGCCCTTTTGCAAGCTTCAGACAAGCAAAGTCAATGGGGATGCCGGATTCACTTAACAACCATGTTACTAACTTAACAGCTGCAGTGATTCACTTAACAACTGTGGCAAGAAAGGTCATAAAACAGGGCAAAACTCACTTAACAAATTTCTCACTTAACATAAAGTTTGGACTCCGTTGTGGTTGTAAGTCAAGGACTACCTGTAAGAAGACAGCAAGCAGAGGAGGAAGTGGCAGGAAAGCAGGAAGGCTGCCGTGAGCCCAAGCTCTGCTAAGCAGCCCCTTGGGGTGGGACTCCTGCCTAGAGGACTCAGCCAGGGTGCTCCCAACAGAGGGGGGTGCGTCCCCCATCCCTGTTCAAGGGGGGAGGCCCCAACCAGTCAGGAAGGCTGCTGATGGGGCAGGTGACCACGCTTGGCAGCAACCCTGCAGAGACAGTACCTAATCCCAACCAGGACAAGGAGGTTTGTGGGGAGGCAAAGACTGGCTGCCCCTTGACAGACCTGCTTGCTTTAAGGCAACCCGTGGCTCTTTCGTCCCTCTGCTGTGGCTCCCTGTTGGCTGAACTCACCACTGGCTGGACCCGCCCCTCGCCCTCTCTTCCCAGTCGCTCCTTGTCTGCCCTGAGAAGGTAAGGGCGGCGGAGACTCGCTCCATATTCCAGAGCGGGAGAGAAGCGGCCCTGTACTTGCATCTTCTTCCGGCCCTTGTTGGTGTTGCGCGCACCTCGGTTGCTTGGGGAGACGTGCAACTTGTTTTAAGCCTGAAACACTGGCCCGGCCTGGCCCGGCTGCAGCCGATGCCGCTGCTCTCGACACCTCCATAGCCTGCGCGCTGCTCTTGCAGCACAGTTAAATTTAACGCGCTTCACAATGGGGGAGACAGTGTCCCCTCTTCTTCCTGGAGCCCATTACGATGCAGAGCATCAGCCGTAGCCAGGCTGGGCCAATGTCTCAGGGCGGAGAGCTTCTCAGGCTAGGCAAGGAGTGACTGGGAGGGGAGGGCGAGGGGCAGGAGCAGCCAGTAATGGGTTCAGCCGACAGGGAGCTACAGCACGGGACGAAAGAGCTGCATTTTTCTGGGAACCTGAAATGATTCTTGATTTAAATCATATGGTAAAAAAGCACCCAAAGAAGAAGAAAGAACATCAGCAAACAAAAAACCACCACCCAACCCTCACCTGTTTTGGGGAATGGTTCAAGAGGGAACACACACACAAACACAGGAGAGAGAGAGAGATGAGACAGAGAGAAAGGGAGCGAGGGGGGGGGGGGACAGACAATAGGGGGGAGGGAGAGACTTGTTTCCCCACAGAAAAGAAAACTCGAGGAGCCACAAAACCTGGGTAGGCCTGGCTGGGGGGGGGAGGGGGGAGGTCATGTGACTGGGTGGGAGTGAGTGAGATTGAGTTGGGCGGGGGGGAGTCTCAGCACAGGATCGCTGGAGAGGCGGCCGGGGCTCGAAAGGGACAGAGCCTCCCGGGGCGACGGAGCCCGACTAGATGCCCTCCTGAGTGCCCCCGCGGCTCTTACCGGCTCGAGGATGCGGTGGAAGCGGCCCATGCGCTCCACCACCCAGGCCTCCTGCTGCGGCACGAAGAGCACCAGCGTGTTCATGGGCAGCCCCGAGGCGCTCCTCCGCGCAGGCCCGGGACCCGCCCGCCGGGCGCCCTGCAAGACCACCAGGGAGAGGCTGGGGGCGCTGGGGGGCTGGGACGGAGGCCCGCCCCCGCAGCGCCAGCCCCGCCCCTCGCCCCCCGCCCCGCAGCGCCCCGCACCTCCCGCAGCAGCAGCAGCCGCCACGGCCGCCCTCCGGAGACCCCGCGCGCCGCCCGCAGCGCCAGCATCGCGCCTCCCGCCCAGCGCCGGTCCGCCGCTCCAAGGCCTCCGCCGCGCTTCCGCTTCCGGAAAGAAAGCCCGGCCGGCCGGCCGTCGGACCACCCCTTCCGGTTTCGCAGCCAATGGGGCGCCGACCGCTCGGTTCCACTCGTCACGCTCCCGGGGTGGAAACCGTTCCGCGCCGCCGCTGGTTCCGCGCCGTTAAGTGGCCCGGCCACTCTCTGGGCGCAGGTCACGGGAGGCTCAGTCGGGTCGCCGCCCCACATATTTCCGGCCCTTCCGCACCTCAGGCTCGCCACCGCCGGCCTTCTCGTTTGCTGCGCCCGTCGGAGCGCCGAGAGCGAGCGAAGGGAGCTTCCCTTGAGGGAGGGCCAATGGGGGGGGAGGGGTGGCCACGTTCCCGGCTTTAATGCAGGCGAAAGTCAGAACTGGCTCATTCCGGGGAAGCCTCTTGCCCCGCAGGGCCTCCAGGCAGGAAAAATGAAGCTTCCAAGCACCGGAGCCCTTCAGGCTTTTCTCCCATTAAATAAAGCATTCGTGTGATGTTGGCCTTCCTCCCCCCGCCCCCCTTTGCCCTTTTGGCAGATGCTTGCAAGGTTCCCACAGCCATCCTTTAAACCCCCATTGATCGCTCAGAAGAACAGTCTCCCCCAGGGATGCACGTGAAGCAACAGCACTTAAGTCTTATATGCTGCTTCATGATGCTCCGCAACACTCTAAGCGGTGTATAGAGTCAGCATGTTGCTCCCCACAATCCAGGTCTTCGTTTTACTGACTTTGGAAGGAAGGTGAAGCTGACCTTGAGCCGGTCAGGATCAAACTTCTGACAGTGAGTTAGCCTGCAATATTGCATTCTAACTACTGCGTCACCAGTGCTTTACAGCCCTCTCTGAGCAGTTTAGAGTTCAGATGTTGCCTCCCACAATCTGGGTCCTCTTTTTACTGACCTTGGAAGGATGGAAGGCCGAGTCAACCTTGAGCTGGTCAGGATTGAACTGCTGGCAGTGGGAATAGTTAGCCTGCAGTACTGCATTTTAACACTGCCAGAACAAAATATGTCTTTCTCTCCAGCTGCTTCTCACCTGGGAAATTGCACACTTTGATGCAGCACAGCCAGAAGCCTCCAGAGTTTTTTTGGGGGGGGGAGACCAATCATCCAACTGCATGGCACTTTCATTCCCACACTATCCACTCTGGCCCAACTCCTGCTGTTGTAGAGAATGAGGCTTCCTTAAGGCCAACAAGTGTGTTAATTGTTCAGTAAATCTGTCATGTGTCAGTTGCCACTGTCCTCCATTTTTTTTTTTTAATTTGATTTATATGCCACCCTTCTCCGGAGACTCAGGGCGGCTTACAATGTGTTAAGCAATAGCCTTCATACTTTTGTATATTTATACAAAGTCAGCTTATTGCCCCCACAAACTGGGTCCTCAATTTACCCACCTTAGAAAGGATGGAAGGCTGAGTCGACCTTGAGCCTGGGGAGAATTGAACTCGCAGTAATTGCAGGCAGCTGGATGTTAAATGCTGCCTTTTTAGGAGGCATTAGCCTCCTACGCCACTCAGGCTCTTTTCTTTTCCAATTGAAATGTGTCCCCCCCAAAAAAAATCAGGTCGCTCAACAGCCCCAACCTGCTCAACCGTCTCATTTCAGGCCCCCTCCCCCATTCAGTGGGGTCAGACCCTCTTGAAAATATCAAGGCAGACAAACACTTTTTCCAAACACACATTTATAGATTTTTTTTCTGTTCCAAAAAAAAGGAAAGAGAAGAAAGTATTTCATACATTTCTGCCTGTCTCTCTTTCTTTCCTTTTAAATATAAATATTTTCAAGTCTCTGTAATTGTAGCCCCTTTCATCACACCTGCTCCCTCTTGAGAGAACAATGTAGGAGATGCAACCCAAACCAAAATGATACCAGAGGAAAATAATGCTTGGGAGACAGGGAGCAGAACTGTCCCCCAAAAGAGGTCTGGGCTTCACAGCAAGGCTTCCTCTCTTCTAAACTGGTGCAGCTCAAACTGGGACAGACTCAAAGCTATCCATGAACCCCTCAAACAGCTCCTGCCTTATCATCTCCAGCTTGGTTGATGCCCTCAGCAGAAGGACCCACAGGGGTGGTAATAGTTCAGGTCACAGACAAAGCAAAAACTTAAACTGATTCACAAACCCTGCCTCATACCTCTAAAGATCAACTGTCTGAATTCTCTTTTGGTCACACAGTGTGTGGACCAGAGCTGGGGACTGAGAGGCCAGCATGAGCCTTCCTAGGGCCTGGTCTTGTACAGCTGGTCCAGGGGAGGAGGAGGAGGAGGGAGTGTGAAGCAGCAGCCGGGAGGCAAGACACTCCCACTCCTGGGAGAGTTACAGCTTTCATGGCTTCCTTGGAAAGGGGAGCAGTTATGCTTGATCTGCTCCCCCTGCAGTGCTGCCTTCAGCTCCCTTCCCGTAAGCTAGCTTGGATGGGCTCCAAAGCTGCTCCTGCCTGGTGATCCAGCTTGATCCCTAAAAAGAGCACCTCCCCCGCGAAGTCCCTGAAGGAAAAGGCCACCTCCCAGTTCTGTACATGCTTCTGAATGGCCCAAACGCCTATGCACCCTGCCTGCCTACCAAGGCCAGCAGAGCCCATCCCTCATGGCAACACCTGCCCCTTCTGCTTCCCCTTCTCCCCAGCCTCCTGCACAGAATTGTACCAGCCACCAGAACGAGAGGTTGGGATGTGCTGCATTTGTAATCCCGGCTGGGCTGGATCCAGTGAGTAAAACGCCGCCCTGGGCCAGGCATGGCTCAGAGTGGCGACTGACCGCTGCAGGGAAGCATCTGCAGCCCCCTGCCCCTCCTCGGCTTGGGCAAAGTGCTGCTCTCCCGCTCCCTCCTTCAAGCCCGGGGGGAGTAGCAGGGGTTGCGCGGCAGTTCCGTGAAAGACTTCAGCTCATAAGGGATCCCAGAGTCCATCTCAATCGACTTGCGCGAGAAGAGCAGCCGGATGTTGTCATGCAGGTAGATCTTCCCCGACTTCGAACTGTGGAACCTGGGAAGGGAAGCAGGAGGCTCTTCACAGGGGGCCTGGGTGGGGAGATCGAAGTCTGCTGCTCCGGAAGGCCAGGTGGTCCATCTGGGAACCAAGGCACCTTTGCCTGCAATTGGGAGGGGGGTGGGGGGGGAAGCAGCCAGCACAAGGCCCTAGGAAGACGCTCGTCATTCTGAACCACAATTATTCCTGGTTCATTGGATATAACGCAATTGGCTGGTTTATGCAATGCTGAGGCCAGACTCAGAAAGGAAAAAACGCAACAGGTTTGGCCAAGGGGTGGAATGTCCCTTCCTCTTTGGGCCCACTCTGCTCTGGGCAGCAGAAGAGGCCGATTTTCCCAGACTGGACTTCTCCCCTTTACCAACCAGGTCTCTGAGCTGATCCCTCACAAGGAGACCCAAATGAGCCTGCACAGGGAAGCCGCCCCACCCCCGCTGCTTCATCATGCCACAGTCCCTGAGCCCAACAAGTGTGGTTCAGGCTAATTTTATTTATTTACTTGTTTATTTATGAAATTTTATTTGTTGCCCGTCTCGTATCCAATGACCCTGAGCGGCTTGTTCCAAAATGGTGCTAACCCACATCCAAAATAAGTGCAACCACCAGCTCAGGTGTGGCACAGATCTTTGTGCAGCTGCAAAGGAGCCCAAAATCAGTCAAACAGCACTGAACCACTGTGCAAAAGGAGGTTGACTCCCTGCTGGTGTTTGAACCCACCTCTGAAGGCAGCTGCACCACCCCAGAACAGGTGCTGATATAGGGCTAAATTTGGCCCCTCTCTCTGCCTCCCCCCGCTCCAGCCCAAATCTAGGAGAGGGTTTGGGGTCTTTTCCTGGTGGCCAGCAGCGGTGGGGTGGGGGTATGAAACAAATCCAGTGGAATCCACCAATCCATCCCTCCCACTCTCTGAGCAACTAACAAAAGAGGCTGCATTTTCCAGCGTTGTGCCCAAGGCGAGGGCAGTGATGGCTGTTGGACAGCAGGGAGGCCATGAGGAAGAGCCCAGAAGGCTCAGGCCCTGCTCTCCCGGGCCTCAGGGAAGGCTAGTCGCACCCCACCCCCAGCTCCCCTGCCCTCACCTCAGGTGCATCAGGTAGCAGAGGACCCGCTTGGGCTGCCCTGCAAGATCCGAGATGGAGGCCTCCCCCTCGCCCACCGGCACCAGGAAGATGCGATGGCGCAGGAAGGTGACATGGTTGGCAGGCATGTCGTGGAAGTCGTAGGTCACCAGGAACATCTTGACCACCGTCTTATTGGGGTTGAATAAGGTCTGAAACGGGAGGGGAGTCAGTGGGGGGAGAGGGAGGGAAAGCCAGAAGCTGCTGGCAGGCGTTGCAGACAGAGGAAGGTCAGGAGTGGGGCTATTCGCCCAGGCTCCCCCTGCCATGCCTTCCGTCCCCACCCCTCTCTCTCTGCTCTGGGGCAGGAGATGAGGGGGAGGGAAAAGAGAGCCAGGCTATCTCCACCCCCCAGGCTACTCCCCACAACTCAAGAGTCCCCTCCATTCCTCTCGCCACCACTCACCACTTGGATGGTGCCCGTTCTGGGGATGCTGTACCCCTTCTTTCCCAAGGCTTCCAAGTCAATGACTCCCTGTGGCACAAAGGCGGCACCAGAACAATGTTAAAAAAGGGGGGGACGTGGCTGGTTGCCAGGTGAAATTCATTTGGGGAGCCTCTTGCTGGTAGAATCAGGGGGCCGGGAGGAAGCGGGGTGCTCCTACAGCAGAGTGGCTTCCCTGTCCTAGCTCCCAGCACAGCCCCCTTCCCTGCAGGATCTCAAAGGAGGGCAGGAGGGGCCACTGCCGGCTCCCCTGCAGCCCCTTACCAGAAACGGGGAGGGGGCGTTGTGCTCGGCTATGTCGAAGTAGGTGACCTCCACAGGCAGGGTGGCGTGCTGTGGGCAGTAGGATCCGCTGGCCCCGATCTCTGCGGTGAAGCCTCCGATCCGGCCGGAGGGCGGGAAACGCCCCTTCAGCATCGACTCCTGCCAGGAGAGAGGGAGGGGGGCATTCTCAGGAGAGGGGGGCTTGACCAGGACATGCCCCCCCATGTCCGAAAGAGGACCGAGCCTTTCTCAGCTCAGCCCCCTCGGTAGAAAGGAGGCAGCCACCCCACAGCTTCGCATTCACTGGGGACATTAATGGCCCCACAGGTGAGTGGCAGGTCAGGCCTCCCCAGCCCCACGGTTACCTCAAAATTCCCCAGAAGGGCGTGGCTGGTGGAGGTGGTGGGGGGCCGCCTGCCCACGAGAGCCCTTCCGGGGCTGCCGCGCAGCTGCCTCCTCCTGCTTGGGGCAGAAGGGAAGTTTCACTCCAGGGGGGCCTCCTCCAGCCCCTCTTGACCCCTGCTGGGAGTGGGGTGCTGGGGGGAGAGATGGCCTGGGACATGTGTAGCCTTGGGGAGCTCCGTGGACAGGCCCCGTGGCCGTCCCACCTGGCTGCATGGCTTGGAGGCTGCTGTGGGCCCCCTGTATCAAAAGGGGGGAGGAGGGGGGGAACTCACGGTTTGAGGTGCAGCCCCGTTTTCAACTGAGAAGTGCCAGTCCTGCCGCTTGCCGAGCCCTGCACCAAGGAGACCGAAAGGGGAGGTCAGATCCCGCAGCGCCACACAAGCCCCTGCCTCCAATCCAGGACCCCCTCCGGAACAAATTGCCCTCCTCCCGGGAGCAGCCGTTTAGAGGCGAGGAAGAGAGAGAGCGCCCACACGGCATTTCACACGGGCCACCCCTTGGAAGGCAGTCAAGCACTAGGAAGGAGGCAGCTTTTAAGCAGAAGGCAGCCCTGTCCGCCCGCCCGCTCGCCTGCCCACCCAGCCTTCCTTCCACCAGCAGCAGCAGCAGCAGCAGCCGATGGACCCGCCTCACAGCTGCTCTGATGGAAGTCCAGTTCAGTTGAACCCGTGTTTCTCAACCTCAGCCACTTGAAGGCTCTTGAACTTCAACTCCCAGAATTCCCTGGCCCACCTGTTGGTTTGGAAATTTCAAGCAGCCCAGGTCGAGAAATGCTAAATTACCTTCCGCAGGAGCAATTAGCCCCAGCACCCCCCCCCCCCCCCCCCCTCCCTGGAAGGTCTTTGGGACATCTGAAACTTCTCCTCTTCCCACAGCAGGGCTGGCTCAGGAGGGCCACGAGGAAGCCGCGGAGAAGAGGAATGGGCTTTGGAGCTGCTTTTGGGAACCTCCACTCAGGTGTCTCTTTGTAACAGAGCACCCACTGCAGTCGTGGCTGCTTGTCAGGCTCAAAAGGCCAGGCCCCAACAGGAAGGTTCAACAGATGTATTGCTAAAGCCCCTGCATAGGAAACTTCTCAACGAAGGGTCAGCGTGAGATTCAGTGGCGGTTGGACTTAGCCGGTTTGTGACCACGGAGGGATTCTAGGCGGATTCCTCTTTTCACTCCGGCCCCAGGTTCTGCCACTCCTTCTGGGGCATCCTCTTTTGGCCCAGATCACCCAAACTGGGCATTCAGTACCCTGAGCACTGGTGATGCCCAGGGACGACTTTAGCCTATAGAGCCGCCTCTTGGCACCTGTTATCTTCATGGGCCACATTCTGCAGCCAGAATTGTTCTGGGAAAAGCAGTCAAGGGTCCCCACCGTGAGAAGGTGAGAGGCCAAAGATGAAAGATGCCAGTCCTCCACTAACTCCACCAGTGCAGTTATGTCTCTCTCTCTCCCTAACTTAAACAGAGCCCTCCCATTACAATTTTTTTTCTACTATACTTTAAAGTTCTTATTTTTTAATTTGCACAGGTGCATGTTAACAGCCAATTAGATTGCAGTGCGGTAGAAATGCAGTAGACCTGGAAACAGAAGGCCAGGCCTTCTCTTGCATCTTGGAGAAAACGGAATGCCTGCCCCACTCAGGGGAGAACCCAGAGATTCACCCCACGCAGAGGGGGAGAAAGAGCAGAGAGGCGGGTGAAATGCAGCTGGGGGGGGGCTTCCTTTCCTTCCAGGACAGGAGGAGAGACATCTAGCACACAAGTCCTCCCACGCGTGTGCGCGCACGTGCAGCTGTTTGCACAAACATCACACATGTGCACCCACCACTTGCACAAATGGAGTTATGCTGCTCATGTGGGGGCTTGCCCCTCGCACAGAACCGCCCCCTCCGACCCCCCTCCGCTGGTTCTCCCAAGCCGGAAAGGTTGGGACCGCTGACCTAGCAGGATTCACCCAAAGGCTGGGAAAGTCCAGGAGCTTCTACGGCTGACAGATGCTGGGTGCAATGAGCATGCCGGGAGTGGCACAGCCCTTTCCAGCTCTAAGGGAGGCTCCTTTGCAGGACGACAGGGTGTGCCAGAGCTCGGGGCTCTGCCACCAGGATGCCACCCCTTGGACACCCCAGGAAAGCAGTTCTTCACCCGGACCCCAGCTCCTTACCCAGCCCTCTTGGGGGGCAGATCTACTGGGGGCCCTTTCTGGCCCCAGTTCCTTACCTTGGCTGCGGGAAGCAGATGGTTCCAGAAGGGGGCGCCCTTGGCATCGGTGCTGCGGCAGGAGGCTGGCACGGTGGGAGAATGCAGGGCCCTCTTTTTGCGTGCTGGTAGAAGGTTCTCTTCCTCCAGACCGCTGGCTGCCCTCCCTTCAACCGAGGGCAGCAGCTTCCTCTTGGCCGGGCAGCTGGCGGGGCCGCCTCCTGAGAGCTGGCTGCTGGAGCAGGGCGTCTTCTCGGCCGAGCAGAGCCCGTTGGCGCTGAGGCTGGGGGCCTCGGGTGGAGTGTTGGGTGCCTCGGCCTCCGGGGACGGCTGCCCTGGCGGGGGGGATGGGAGTGCAGGGCTGTGCAAATCGTGATCGTGTGGGAAACGGGCCCCCCCGTTCTCTTCTGGCCTGGAGTCCATGGCGGGCTGCTCCCCCCACAAGACGGGGGCCGAGTCTCTCGTGTGCAAAGTGGTGCAGAGCCTGCCAGGCAGCGGCAGGGCCGCCCACCGGCCCTCGGCAGCTCTGGGCTCCTGGCCTCCACGCTGGCCGGGACTGACCTCCTGCCGGTGCTCTACGACTCGCAGGCCGCTATGGGAGAAGTGCTGGGCGGCGCCCCCCAGGGCCAGCCCGTCCACCAAGAGCCCGTCCTCGATGGCCTCCTCCTCCGTCCCCCAGTGGCCCCTCTTGGCATCCCACTCGCCACCCTCGGCCACCCACCGGGGCTCCGGGCAGGCCCGCTTGATGGGCTGCCGTCGGGGGCCCCTCTGCTGCGGAAGGGCAGAGCCGCTGCCCCGAGGAGAAAAGATGGAGACCTGGTAGACCTTCTGGCTGCCCAGCTCTGGTGGACTGCAGCCCATCTGGAGGCCATGATGCTTCCAGGGCTGTTGCTGCTGCTGCTGCTTCTCTTCCTCTTCCTCCTCTTCCTCATCTTCCTGCTGCTGCTGCTGCTCCTGGCTCAGGCCTGTGCTCTGCTCGCGGGGGAGTCCGGCCTCAGCACTGAGGTGCCTCATGGGGCTGAGGGGGAGGACAGGCGCTAAAGTGCCGCGTGGTCAGGGCGTCTGGCCGAGTCCCCTGCTAGGAAGTGGGCTGCACAGCCACATCTGAAAGGAAAGGGAGGGCGGGGTTGAGCAATCCCCCTCCCTCCAAGGGTGCCTCTCCAGGCCTCAAGCAGGAGCCCCCACACTGCCCTCCAAGAGGCAGCCACAGAGCCACGGATTTCTCCTCCAGGCAGCCTCTCTTAGCTGCAGGCTGCTGCAACCCTGGGAGCCAATTCTGGGGCCCTGTGAGCCAAATCAGGTGTGTGTGTGTGTGTGTGTCTTTTCCTTCTTCAAGTGCTCAGAAGCCTTCCTGACCCTCCAGCCCCATTGCAAGGTCTACAGCACTTGCACTGCCCACTCACCCCACTGCACGGGGTCCCGTCCCCTGGCCGGCGTGTTCTCCTGCTGCAGCAGCCGACGGTGACTGGGGAAGCTGGCTGGGGACACCTGCCACCCTGGCACTCCCCAGAAGCGGCGCGGCTGCCGGGGGATGGCTCCCACCATCACGGGTTCCAGCTCGGTTCTGTACGCAGACCACCACAACGTCTCCCCCAGGCCAACGAAGCAACTGGGCAGCCGCCCTGGGGAGACAGAGGAGCAAAAGGCCGCCTGTCACCTCCTCAGGAGGAAGGGAGGGGTGGGGAATCCAGAGACCCCTCCTGGCACGGCAGGGAGGAAGAGGAGAAATGGGGTCTCTGGATCTCCTTAATGAGGAGGGGGCCACTAGGGACTTTTCAAAGGAGAAAAGGATTCTCTGGTCAATCCATAAATGTGTCCATATAAATCCACCTGTGGTTTCAGTGACGAAGGATTTCTTCAAGTGGCGGGGAGAGATTTCATATGTAAAATGGTGGCTTATGCTTCACCTGGGAAACCTCCGAATTGCCCACAGAAAAGCCAAACGGGTCTGGCCTGCCTCAGGGCTTTCCAACTTCAACATGGCTGGCTGGGGAATTCTGGAAGTCCACAAATCTTAAAGTTGCCAAGTTTGGAGACTTCTGATTTAAATGCCAAGGTCCTGCGTCCACCTCCCCCCCTCCCCCACTGGCCTCATCATCCCTGCAAGAACGGAGGCAGGAGAGCCAGGCAAGCACCTCTTCTCCTCTGGGTGGATTCTCTTCTAATTGCAACCCCACCCCCCAAAAAAAACACCCTCCCTACACACACACAAGGGTTTGTCCAGACAACTCCATCAGAATCAAGGACTGGCAGCCTCAAAGCCCCATGGCCATGGGCACAGACTGGCAGCCAGCTGCACCAGCCAGGAGCCAACTTCCCACAAGAGAGGTTGGCAGAGGGCCTGTGGCTGGAGGGGGGGCAGGGGTCGAGGCCCTCTCCTCCCCAGCTTTGACAGCAGGATTACTGCAAGTCGGGGGGTGGGGTGTCAAAAGCAGTAGCCGCAAAAGAGCCAGAGCAGGAAGTGTCTGTGGAAGGAGAGAAGCCCCCTCCCGCCATGTACCACAGCAAGGAAGGCAAGCCACAGCCAGCCTTGGCCCCACAGCACCCCAGGGCAGAAGGGGTCCCCTTGGCTCACAGTCCTCCAACCTCCTCCCCCTGCAGAGGCTCATGCCAGCCGCCAAAGGGCATGGGGAAGCAGGTGCTCAGACTGCGCTGGAAGAGGGGGAGCAGTGGGGGGGGGGCTGCAGGAAACAAAGAGGCCAAGGGGAGCCGCAGGGATGGGGGGAGGGAAGGGGCACCTTGTTGCAGAGCAGGGAAAGGCAGGTGTCCTGTAAAGGGGACCCTGGCAGCAGCCCCGCCCCAGCCTCAAGCCACCGCAGGGAGGCCTCACCTGGACCCGGTTCAACCTACCCGGCCAGCCAAGGACATGGGCTCCTTTGGCCAGGATTAGACACAGCAAACAGTGTTGATGGGTTTTGCTGCAAAGTTTGCTTAAGACCCCCTCTCACCTTGGGGGTGGGCTGGAACGGCGGGCCCAACCCCCACCACTGTCCCACCCCAACAGGGGAGAGGAATGAGAAGAGCTCACAAAGACTTCCTGGAAAGGGGCTTTTCGGCAGGGGTCCTGGGGCCATCTGGCTTTGGGCCAAAGCAAGCCCCCCCAAAGGTGCAGCCCACCCGCTTTCAAATGGGAGCAAGAGAGGAGGGGGCTCTTACAAAAGCCCTGGCTGCGCCTGAACTCCAGAAGCCCCCCCGCCCCACCCCCCGCATAGTCCCCAGCTGAAGAGCCCTGGTCTGCAAAGCTCTTTGGGGAACCCAGAGACCCCAGAAGGAACCTGAGGCCCAAAGGCCAGGCCCTGGATCCAACCCATCTGGGAAAACGGGGGTGGGGGGGTGTCTGCTCCTCCAGGACAGGGATCTCCAAACTTGGCCACTTTTAAGACTTGTGGACTCCAACTCCCAGAATTCCTCAGCCAGCTATGCTGGATGAGGAATTCTGGGACCAGGTTGAGGCATTCTGGCAGTTGAAGTCCACAAATCTCAACACTGACAACCCTGCTCTAGGCCAACCTGGAGGACCACAAGCAAACCACCATCAATGCCAGCCAGTTTTCCAAAATGGGAGCCATAGGGCAACAAGGGCTGCTGCCAGGGGTCGGAGCATCTTCCAGCACAGGGGCTCTTGCCTTCAGGGGTCCTTGCCCCAGGCAAGAGCCTGCCTGGCTCCCCCCATCCCCCCCCCCCAAAGTTACCCAGGGCAGCTGCTGGTGCAATTCCAGGGTCGGGAGGAGGAGAGCACCGGGGAGGCTGCTCCGGGTTTTACCTTCCCCATTCAGCCCAGGTCACCATGACACCCCACCCCCTATACCTCCCCTGGGCTGAGCCAGCCAATGGCAGCCCAGTATGTAAATCAGCCAGGCCACAAGAGAATGGGAGGGGGGGCAGAGGTGTGGGGCAGGCAGGGAAGGCCAAAGCTGGGGGGGAGGGGGAGGGACTTTGTTTCCAAGGTCCCTTGGAGGGCGGTCACCTCCAGACGCTCAAGGAGAAGCGGCCGCCCCACAGCAGGAAGAGGGGCACTGTCCCCCCAGACCCTCTGAGCCTCCTCCAGCCCTCCTCCTTCCAAGGACCCCACTGCCATGACCCACATGCATGTCCCTGCACGCAACCCTGATTGAGCTGGGGGAAGACGGCAGGGAAGGGAGCCCAGAGTTGGGCCTTCCTCCTCATCATCATTCCTCGCCACAACCTGTCCAGAGCAGCTAAGTTGCGAGTCCTCATCGTTTTTTAACTGATGGAGAATCCATGCTGCATTTGCAGTGCAGGTCGAGGTGTTTTGTGTTCACCTGCCCAGCTCTTTCTCCCTGCTGTGCTGTCAACATTGCCAGAGTGGACAACTCGCCATGGCCAATGTGGCTCAGGACAACTTCGCTGCGAGACCGTTCCACGTGGGGTAACTCAATGCAATCAATGTTATCCACCCGTCTGACGTTATTTCCATTTTTGTCAGTGAAAATAAGATCAAAGAAACAGTGGCGGGTGACATTTATGGCGTTGACTTATCCCGCCTGGAATGGTCTTGCAGCGAGCTGTCCCATTCGGTGCCAGCCAGAGCAGCACCTGGGCAGCTAAGAGCAAAGGAAGGGCAGAGCGCACCAGGGGGTGAAAGGGCTGGACTGCTGCTGGGAGACCCTCTCAGGGGTGCTGGAGACGAGAATCGGCTGAGGGGCTGAAGGAGGAAGGAGGAAGAAGAGAGCGGAAGAGGAGCTGCTGCTCAAAAAGGAAACCGGAGCTTCTGCCCACAGGCTGTGCCACCCCAGTGCAAAAGGTGAGGGGGCGACAGATGCCAGGCACAGAATTTCCCAGGAAAAGGGGCTGAGGAATAAAGACTCTCAGATGAAGGGGGTGGCAGCTCCCTGAAAGCACCAATAATGAAGCTGACAAAGGCCCAGATGCCCCAGAAGGCAGACGAACAAGACCGATGGCTGGGCATGACCCCAAAGGGGCCAACACGCCACCTGCAAAACACTGCCCCCCCCCTCGAGCAACTGAACTGCAAAATAACAAGATGCCAACATCTTTCCCCCCCGCCTCCCCGGTGCAGAGGGGTGCCCTCCCCAAGCTGCTGCCCTTTGATAACAGCAGGACGAGGCCCTGCAGCCACCAACACCCACACCCTCCTTGGCTACACAGAGGAAAGAGATGCAGTGCATCCCCCCCCACACACACATAATCCAGGAAGCCCCTGCAGCCTCCTCAAACTTGCCGTTGCCAGGAGCACAGTTGCAGGAATTGGGAAAGTCTGGTCAAATGAAAAGAAAAACTAGGGGGGGCATGACAACAATCTTCCAATATTTGAGGGGCTGCCAGAGACAGGAGGGGCTCAGCCTACTCTCCTCAAGGCAGGACAAGAAGCAATGGACAGAAACTAATCAAGGAGAGAAGCAATCTAGAAAGAGAAATTTCATGACAGTGAGGACAATTAACCAGTGGAACAACTTGCCACCAGAAGTTGTGGGTGCTCCAACACTGGAGGCTTTTAAGAAGAGACTGGACAGCCATTTGTCTGAAATGTATAGAGTTTCCTGCTTGAGCAGGAGGCTGGACTAGAAGACCTCTGAGGTCCCTTCCAATTCTGTTATTCTCAGAAGCACCAGATCCCTGGTCCCAGAGGATCAGCCCCACAGACCCTCTGTGGGGCTTTGAGCATTTTTTAAACAGGAATTAATTTGGTGCCATTCTTCTGGGTCGGGCCTAGCCCAAACAGTAAGAAGCCCACAGCAATCTTAGAAGAGCTCCGCTCCATGCAATTGAAAGGTGTAGCCCCCTCCCCACTCAAGGAGAAGTAACCAGAACGAGATCACCAGGGACCAGCAAGATGGGCATTCCCAGAGAGGCTTCAAGGCCTCCTTAAAAGGGCAAAAGACAAACCAGACTTCCCTCCCCATCTCATAACTCCTCTGCAGCTGCTGGACCAAGCCCGATCCTCTGGCCCTGACCCACAGCACCTCCCCCTCCCCAAACCAGGCAGCAGGTCAAGGCCAGGTAAGGAGGGATGTGCAGGGCCCCCCTTCGCTCTGCCGAGGCTCAGCAATCAGCAGGGACAGCACAGAGTCTTGGGGAGGGAACCATTCTTCTCCCAGGTAAACCAAACCAGAGACCAATCAAATGTAACATTATTTTCGAATCGACCAATAGCGCAGCATTCATGCCGTTTCCTTTTGGGTCTGCCTATGGAATGAAACGCATACGTGCCTTTGCAAACTTCAGGCCTTATTCTATCAGCAGGAAAAAGAAATCCAAGAATTTCACTGGGATTACAAAAGAAAAAGCATGGAGCAGCTTAGATATTTCTTCCGGTTGATAGCCCCATTCAGTGATTAAGCTGCCTGTCGTGGCCTTCCCTTCCCAAAGCCCTCCAGTGATGGCAGTTCCCATCATCCCCAGTCACCGTGAGGGCTGACTGTCTGGGGAAGTTGAGGCACGACCAGCAAAGGGGGACAAAGAAAACTCTTTGAACCAACATCCCCCACTTGGGCAATTCAAACGTTAAGGAATCATTTTTGATTGTTAAATTAAACAACTAAATAAATTAATAAACGTGTTATGGATTACTCTGCTTCAAAAAAACATCTGCTTCGGCAGTTTGTTTCCATTCCAGTGGTGCACAGCACCCTACAGCCCCTGTCCTTCCTGGGGGTGGGGGGGCTAAAAAGGGCAGGAAGGCAGCTGGTAGGGCTTCCCTTTCCCTCCCCCCTTCCAAGCCTTGGATCGGCCTCCTCCGCAAGCCCAGAGGAGAGCATCAGTCTCAGCCAAAAGGCAGCCAGAGTCTGCTGCTAACCGGCCAACCGAGTCAGCAAACTACACCTCCCAGCCTGCTCCTCTCCAAGGATGCAGAGCAGTGCATGCTGGGATTTCTAGTCCTCCTGATTCTCCCAGGGATGAGAGCGTGTCCTCGCTTAACCCCAGCAGTGCTCAGCTGGCCCCGAGCGCATTACGGGTGAGAGGAAGGCTGAACACGCTTCTCCTCCCCACAGCCACCCCCACATTTGGGCCCTCCAGGCGGGCTCAGGGAGAGGGAAGACAGCAGGTGGGAGGTAGTGCCCTCCTCAGCAGAGGCACAGGGCCCTGGGAAGCATTTGCTTGGAGGGGGGGCTGGGGGGGGGCAGCAGCCCACGGTGGCCAGAACCACACAGACGATCCAAATCCCCCCCCACCGACCAGCAGAGACCTACGTAGCCCACCCCCCAATTCAAAAATACCTCCGCAGCACAAGAGAAGGAAAAGCAGAGGCAGAAATCAAAGGGGTTTGTGTACAGATGTGGAAGTCCAGAGCCAGGAATGCTGGAATAGAAAAGCAGCTCCAGCACCACCACCACCACCCAGCCTGGGTGCCCGCCAGACCCCGGGCACCCAGGCTGTGTCTTCTCTGCAGCAGCATCGCTTGGCGATTGTCCCTGCTGGGAGCTCTGTCCTCGTGTGACCCTGCAGTAGCTGAGCACATGACAAGCAGAAGGGCCACGTCAGAGTCTCACAAGATTTGCTGGGGGGGGGGGGAGAGCGAGCACCCTCTGAAGTAGCAAAGGCCCCGGGGACAAGAGGTGGGAGCCACACAGGTAAAAGAGGAGCAACGGAGGCCAACTGGATGCGGAGGAGCAGTCCTTCCTTGGGCGAAGGACCACTGTTTATCTCCAAGTGACGGGTGGGATCACACTTGCCTCCGATGCAGATTAGGACTAACTTTGGTTTTATTCTGTCAAATTTTATACTTAGCAAACTCAAGTTAAGTATAGATCCGACAGGGTGATTCTCTAAGGGGCTGCCCCAAAGAAGGCGGGGGGGTCAACCTATTCTCCAAAACACCAGAAGTCAGAACAAGAAGTGATGGATAGAAACTAACCAAGGAGAGAAGCAACCCAGAACTAAGGAGAAATTTCCTGACAGTGAGAACAATGAATCGGTGGAACAGCTTGCCACCAGAGGTTGTGGGAGCTCCAACACTGGGGGTCTTTAAGGAGAGACTGGACAGCCATTTCTCTGAATTGGTAAAGGGTCTCCTGCTTGAGCAGCGGGCTGGACTAGTAGACCTCCAAGATCCCTTCCAATTCTGTTATTCTTTATATTTAATGGTTGCCTCCTCCTAGCACAATGGAAAAAAAATTCCAGGTTTTGATTATGTCCATTTGTTTTCCCTGAGAAGA